TGCTTTCCGTTCTTCTTATGTCTGAATTCCAGTCAGGAGGTGGATCTCAGAATTTCTAGTCCGCGGGGGACTGTTTAGGACCGTCCTAAGGATCTTGTTCGGGATCCTTTGGAGTTTAAGGTGATGGGATTTGGCGTAACTTTCCCATATTGGCATCCCGTATTCTATTACGGGAAGGATGATTTGCTTATTTTTCAGGGATAGAGTAGACCTCCTGTTGATGAGTGGATACAGTGATCTTATCAAGATGTTACACTTGGTTTTGGTTTTGTCAACGTGCACCCTGAAAATCAGTTTGCTGTCTAGTGTTAAGCCGAAGTAGACTACCTCTTTCGACCATTAGACCACTGTGCCGTTCAGGCAGATCTTATTATTCACCGACGGAACAAGTCTAGGAGATTTAGAGTGTGGAAAGATGATGACCTGGGTTTTTGCCACGTTGATACGGATCTTCCAGCTGTTGAAATATTCAGACAGGACGTCCAGGCCTCTCTGAAGTTTGACAGTCAGAGCTCCGATGACCCTACCCTTGTAGACGATGGACGTCAAGGATGCTACCTTGTGGAACCCCAGCACCGATGTTGAAAGCATCCGGTGTGATGCCATTCAGAAAGACTCGGAACGTCCTGTTCGATAGATAGTTGTTAATTATCTTCACTAGGAAGATTGGAAGACCGTAGTGCTGCAATTTGAACAACAGGCCATCATGCCAGACATTGTCGAACGCTTTTTCAACGTCCAACAACGCCATAGCCGCTTTTTTTTTTAAAACAGACTTGTTCCGTCTGAGAATGTTTGTTACTCGAGTCAACTGGTGGACGGTCGAACGTCCTTTCCGAAAACCAAACTGTTCCTCGAGTAACAACTTGTTTTCTTCGGCAGATGTTAAGAGCCGGTGGTAGACTGCTCTTTCGAACAGTTTTGATAACCCTGAGAGAGGGTTGATTGGTCAATAACTTGAAGGAAAGGACGGATCCTTCCCAGATTTCCGGATGGGTATGACTTTAGCTGACTTCCAGTCGGAGGCACAGATTAAAAATCAGATGGTTGTAGAATCTGGAACTCAAGTGTTTGAGTTCCTGATTCAGGATGTTGTCGAAACCTGGGGCCTTCATATTTTTAGATGATTTGATATAAGCCAACAGTTAGTCAGCCATAATCTCGAATTGCTCGGAAATATATTGGGAATCTGATGGAGGTTGGATGCGTTTTCAGCAACCTCAGCTTCGTGAGGGCTACCGATGTTTTGTCCAAGATTATGTGAGCTGACGAAGTGTTGCCTTCTCTTCAGGAGTTATCAGATGAACCACTGGGTTGCCGTAACGATCCAGTGGGGTCAGTGGTGGAATGGGTCTTGGCTTATTTTTTAAATTTTTGGTTATTTTCCAAAAGTGCTTTGCACAATCTAGGAGAGGTACCTGAAAAAATAGTTTTAGAACTTCTTAAAATACACATTTTTTCAGATGTGATCGTGTGATTGTTTCACGCTTTTCTCTATCAAATACGCCATTTTCAAATGTTACTAAGTATGGGGCAAATAAACACAAATTTTCAAGTCAGCATTTGAAAGAACACATCTTGAAGTATATGATACAAAAAAAATTAGAGACGATATTTTTAAACTCATATAAATTCAATTTTACTTTATTAAATAAAACAGCAAAAAAGGTTATCTTCCATTTAATTCCACTAAAGAACTTATCAAAATCTAACCCCCTTAAGTACTCATCCCCTAGGTAAAAAAGTCAAGATCATAGGTATAAAAATGAAACTACAATGTGTTGAATCGGAACCTACCTAACTAATAAAAACCAAAGATTTAAGTAAGCTAAAGGAGAAAAATCTATACAACTCTCTAATAAGGAAAATCCCCAAAGGCTTGGTAGCCTTTACGTATCTGTCATGGATACCAAAATTAATTAAGTGGAATTAAATGGAAGATAACCTTTTTTGCTGTTTTATTTAGCATCCCGCTAACAACCCAATTTCATTACTTCATTATGATGGCTACCAAGCCTTTGGGGATTTTCCTTATTAGAGAGTTGTATAGATTTTTCTCCTTTAGCTTACTTAAATCTTTGGATTTTATTAGTTAGGTAGGTTCCGATTCAACACATTGTAGTTTCATTTTTATACCTATGATCTTGACTTTTTTACCTAGGGGATGAGTACTTAAGGGGGTTAGATTTTGATAAGTTCTTTAGTGGGAATGACACTGATGAAGACTGCACATTGTAGTCGAAATACGTATCTGTCATGGATACCAAAATTAATTAAGTGGAATTAAATGGAAGATAACCTTTTTTGCTGTTTTATTTAGCATTCCGCTAACAACCCAATTTCATTACTTCACTTTACTTTATTATTATTTTTTTATATAATATATAATATAAGGCGTTATAACCTTGGCATTAAAACTAGGTTAGTATTTGAGGTGGGCGGAGCGACAAGGTCATGTCAGGTTTCAGAGGGCGCTCGCGCGCTGACATTGACATTCGACAAAGGGAGTTTTATCTGTCAGATGCTGGCGTTAGATTATGTGGGAGTGTTCTGATGCTTGAGGAGTTTTGCGTTTGGGGCCGTTGTTTTACAGATGGTTGGTCTGCCTATTTTGAAATGTTAACCTAGAAATAGCCTGACTTATGGTTCAAATGCCAAAAGTTCATCCACAGGCGCCAGGAGCATAAATAGGAATTATGCTCCCAATGAAAACAAATAAATCTAGATAAACATTTCAAAAGGTCCTATCTGCATTGATCGATTCTCTTCATCGACTTTCTCTTTCGTCAATAACTCAGCTGCAAAACCTTTCCCTGTTGTATTTGACGTTTTGGACGTTATATGAGAACCTCATTTATCAAACTATGTAGTAGAATTAGCGCGAAATCTGTTTGCATAGCAGTGGTTATGAAAAGAGAAAGTCGATGAAGAGAATCGATCAAAGCAGATAGGACCATTTGAAATGTTCATCGAGAAATAGTACTATTCAATTTAACTTGAAGCGTTTGGTACGGGAGGTTCACGCTTTCTTTCTTTTCCTTGATCTCAAGTTGTGGAGTGGTTTTAGATACTTATTTCTGACATCGCTTGACTTCTTTAAATCCTCTCTGCGACACATGCTGCTCAGTTGGCCTTGGCCGTTGACAAGAAAAATGACGGATTCATGAAGTCGTCATTTTCCAGGATGCTTTCAAAGTATTGGCTGCGTTATTCCGCGGATACACTTGTATGACCTACTATGAGCATGAGCATTATTTGTATAATAATTATGAGCACTATACAACAACTATACACAAACTACACAAGTGCGACCATGGATGTGCTCATGATTTATTATACAAATAATGCTCATGCTTATAGCTTGTCATCCAAGTGTATCCGCTGCATTAGTGTGCGATTAGATTAGATTAGATTATAAAACGATACAGTAATCCCTCTATTTATGCGATGGGTAGTATCGTTCACCCATCGCTATTTCTCAGCTTTTCTTCAACCAGTTAAGCTGATTTTCAGTAGATAACTAGTTTATGGTTGACACTAATCACATACTGCGTAATTGGTTGAGGGACAGCCGAGAAACAGTGGTGGAGGGACGGTACCACCCATAGCACAAATGGAGGGTTTACTGTACAGACATGTTTTTTGATAAACATGCGTCTTAAGAAGCTTCAAATGTCTCTTGAAGATGACTTTAATGATAAAATTTTAAATAAAAAGTCCAAAGGTGGTTTTCAGAGGGATAATTTAAATGAAATGTGCTAGTACTTTTCTTTCAATATTTAGACATTTGATCCTCGGTGAAGTTTTTGTGCTTAAAAAGTCCTTTCTTTTAGTGTTTGTAAATAATAGCATGGTCCTCAAATTAATTGATATTCAAAAATCATCTTCCTTACTTTTTAAAATAAAGTCATTCAATTATCAGCAACCAACCATCTGAAGAAATGTATGACTAAAAAACTAAAAAAGCCCAATAATGTTAAATTTTGTTAGTTTATAAACGCTCAGCTACACAGATTTGGACTGCAAAAGTGCCTTTGAAAAAAATGTCGGAGAATAAAAGGTGTGTTTTTTTGAGAAAGTAATTTTTTTTTTGATCATATCTTTCTAATTTCACAACTTTGTTGACATTGGACAAAATGAATCGTCAAATCAAGGTTTGAGCTTAATATACAGTAAATAACTGACAAAGAAAAGTTTTCACAAACGAAGAATTTCTGAAAAAAAAGGACTTGTGCAAAGTCAAACTGATATCTTTAATTCAAAAATCGCTCCAATGAAAATGGAGCATAGATACGATGGTTCAACGCTGACTATATTTCTTCAACATGATATCCATCAAGATTGGGATGGTAGTTTTGGATGAACTTGCTGCAATATTTTTATGCAATTTTTCATGATCAATTTTTGGTGTGAATATTCTTTATTTCCACCATAAACAACATCAATCTCTTTACGGTGCCCACTTTACTCCCATCACACCTACTATAAAGACTTTTTTTTAATTATTCCCCTTTCAAGACGATAAGGTTTTCAGTGATCCGATTGAGTTGGCTCTCCTAGCAATCTGCAGTACCTGTCCTATTCTGATTGTTTTCATGTTTTCTTGAATGTCTAAATCAGTGGTGTCCACCTTTCGGCCCGCTGGTTATAAATAGCCCTCAAAGCACTTCAATGTCATCTCTAGGGTTATAACAATTAATATGATTTTTTTCAAATAGATGAATCCTAAAAAAAGTTAATTTTTGATAATGGTTATTTTTCCAATGAGATTTTGTTTAGTTTCTCGAACTGCTTTGCCCTTCGTTCTATTATTAAAAAAGTGAATGCTCTTTAGGATCTATATGCCAGCCACAAAAACATTATAAAAAATCCATGAAATATTTGTTCCGTAATTAAAATCTTCTTACTTTCAGAGAAGTAATAGGAATATTATTTTATGCATATTTCTCTGACCTAATAATAAAATGGTATTCTACATATGAATGTTTAATCCTATTTAGATTACCGAAAGGAAACAAATTAACAACGAGCACATCCGTGACATCCACTAAATCTACGACGACTGTGCTTAACGACGATGTTGAATCAAATTCATCTTCATCGATACGTAGAAGAAATAGACTCAATTTTAATAACATGTTGATGCTAATGGTAGATGATAAAACGAAAGAAAAATATTGTTACGACAGTTTAGATGAAGGATCAGAAGGTTCTGTAATGACTTCAAAAACGTCCTCTACCAATGATACGTGTGACGGTTTCAAAACTGTGTACAACTCGATAGTTCCAGCAAGGAGTAAACCTGACCAGCAGAGTATACCGCTTTCATACATCAGATCAGCAAACGAACATAACGTTGGCAAATATCAATTCTTCGTGAGACAAAATGCCTTCCAAAGTAGCCCACTCAATTTGAGAAAGGAAATCACTCACTCAATCGTGTGTGATGACATTCAATTAATGACAAAAGTATTACCCAACGCGGAACAACACTCAAACACGAAGAGTATCGATACGGAAAAGTCAGGTCTATTGTTTAATAGCAAATCGGATTCCATTATAATAGGCCACTCAGCATCATACGAGGCTAATTCTATGTCTTGTGAGTTGGCTGATTCATCACTAACTGAAGAATGTACTACAGCTTCACGAACTGAAGAATGCAGCAGCCGAATATACCCCAAAAACCAACGGTTCTCTCATGGTAGAAGAGGTTAGGTATTGAATAATCAATGTACGATGTATAACTATGGCGTTCGCGATGTGTTTCTATTTGTTGTTCGATGTGCAGTAGGCGTTGATTTTAATTATAAACAATAGATGTTTTCAGTAACGTAGCTCGATCTAGCATGAACCAGCTCGTGTTTGTTGGTAACAAATAGCTGTCCAGCCTCTTCAAACTGTGTTCTGTGCGAATGAAAGTATGATTGCCGTTCGTGTAAAAATTCGGTGCTCGAGACCGCCACATTTCAGTGTATACTGCTACTGCAACTGAATTAAACTTACTGTCGTTGCAGTTGCACCCCACGTGTTAGTCACGACCTCCGAACTTTGCAGGTACAAACTAGCACCAGCAGTAAAGTGATCCGATTTTCACCCGTATAGAACACATTAACGTATGTTGCTTGCACGACAAGATTAATTTGTTCCTATTAAAAAAAATGACATCTCCCGTTTATTTGAGTAGTTTGAACATGATGTTCAGATGAAAATTTCGAAAGATCCAATTAGTATTAATAGATTCCCCAGAGTGCCAAAAAATTCAAATTTGAGAGAGCAAATTCTCTTTGTCCAAAGTGTATAAAAAAGAGTGGATTTCGGATGTTAATCTAAATATATATATAGAGATACCAGACATGTTTTTCACTGTATTGTCCTCTGTGAGCAATTAATGGAAAATCATGGATGTCACCGCAAACAACAGCAGTGACATCTGATGGAAAATGAATGCAGAAGCTTTACCTAATGGTTAATTACTCATCAGTCCAAACTACATTGATTGTTCTCTTTATCGCCATTCTCTTTCACTGCAGAAACAGTCGTTTCTTTCTTTATTCTTCGTCTTTTTCGTTTTCGTAATCAGAGCTAAACTATGTATTGTTTGAGCACTTGCACAGTTGTTAGCTAAGAGATTTATCAGGCAATTTCTGTATTTCTATATTGCGGTAGCCGAGTCGGGTTGGAGTCTCTTTCTTTCCTTTATTTAACGTCGGTCTCTGTTCCGCAATCTAGTGCCAATCACCGACGGACATCGATTGCCATCCATTGACGGCAATCGAATGTGCAGGAAGGCAGCTTCCACACCTGGGTAGGATATCGTACCCATTCACAACACACATGGGCCGGGACCAACGGCTTTACTTCCCTTCCGAAGGAAGACGTGACCAGAGATTTTTATGCCTCAGAAAAATCCCACCGACCTCGGCTGGGATTGAACCCAGACCCATCGGGGTGTTTGAAAGCAGTCACGCTTACCACTACACCACCGGCGCCGGCGGGTTGGAGTCTCTGGCAGTGGTGATTTTAACGATGGAATAGAGCAAATACCTCTGATTTTGGCCCAGGAAACTTTGAAAAGGCCTCCGACTCCAATATGAATCTACAGCTCTGCTCTATTGTATGGCAAATCATCTTGGTTTGAAAACAAACGTACTCAAATTAGAAGTCCATACGTTGATGTTTATAGGTCGCTCAACGGACCTTAAGAATAAGTATTGGTGACCCCCCATTCAGTGGCAAGCACGTAAATGTAGTGTAAACTCCTCTATAGGTATCGATGTGCCACTAGGTGGTCACTTAATCACAGTTTGGCAAAATGTCAATTTGATAACATTTATTTTACGAAACTCGATTATTATTAAGCATGTAGTAATTTGGTGATGTTTTAGGAACGCTATGCCATCAAATAACATTTCGCAGCACGCATTTCACTTAATAGATGAATATAACAATAATTATGGAAAAATAATTTCCAGTGAAACCAATTGATTTTGGAGATATCCCATTAAGGGAGGATACCTAAATAACATAGCATATTTTAGGTTACTTTAAAGATTCCCAAAAAAATTATTTATGCACAGTGCTAAAAATCCACGTTTTTTCCATTTCTTGAAACAGGTCTCGAATAACTAGTTTCTTTGTCCTTGTAAATCTCTGATAACAGGAGTTAGAATTAGGCTTATGTTTCTTATTTTGACCTTTCGCTATGTTCAGAATTGAAGCAAGTTCGTCTGGTTTGGAACGCAAAACATTGGAGTTTTTTTGGCCTAAAATGAGTAGACCCACCAAATTTGGTTCAAGTTGGAGAGGTTTGATGCAATTGCTCAGTTACTTGAGATAGAATGCCTCATATAAGACTTCATAAAGAAATTCACAGATAAATAGAAGGCAACTCGGTTCATGAAAAAAAAAGCACTGAAATTGTTTTCCTATCTTCTGCTTTTGGCTTTATTTCGTCTCCACTGGAACTTTACGCCGGCGCTCAACTTAGTGCCAGCTCCAGCATGATCTTGCTTTATAGCTGCGCTGTTATTGACTGAGCCCCATTTTCTTCTAATTATGTTTATATTTTCTTATAAGGTGAAATATGCAACTACTGTGATTAAATTTATCTAAAAAGCTGACATTGGCAACATTCAGTCATGTTATGGGAACTCCAGCAAAAGTTATCAGAATAGGAAATGAAGCTATTTAATATTATGCAAGAAAGGCACTTTTCACTGTTAGGAGGATTAATCAAGCTTTTGGACATATCGCCGGAATCAAACATCTGATTGGAATGAAGTTCAATAGCGTTTTATAGGAACCGGTTGTACTCAAATCAGTTCAGCCTTCGCCGAGAAAAGTGCTATATTTCAAAATTTCACTTTTTTGTCATATCTCCGGAACCACGGGCAAAACAGTAAATCTGAGTAGCTACGCAATAAAAGAGCATTTTTCCAAGGCATTTCATCATTTTAATATTACAAAAACCATTTTCTCTATCACAGTCAGAATTAAACCGGTTGCATTCAAATTACCTCAGCCATCACCAATAAAAGTGAGTGAGTATTACGGTTTTATTACAAAATCTCACTTTGCTGGTCATATCTCTGGAACCAAAAGTTCGATCGGAATAAAACTCACTAGGATTCTATGGAAAATAAATACATAGGAACTAGTTGCACTCAAATCGGTTCAGCCATCACAGAGAAAAAGGAGTGAGTATTACAGTGTTATTGCAAAATTTTGCTTTTTTAGTCATATCTCCGGAACCAAATGTCCGATCGGGATGAAAATCAATACAATTCTATGGAACTCAAAACAATATTGCACCCAAGTCAGTCAGTCGTCTTCGAGAAAAGTGAGTGACAATAATAGTTAAAATTTTAGCTAAATTTCCGATTCAAAAAAAGGGAAAATGGGAACCTATGGCAATCAAATACGATTAAAATTAAACTGGTTGTACTCAAATCGAATCAGTAATAGCTGAGAATAGTGAGTGACTAGCACACCAAATAAAGTTCACACACATACATTGCACATACGCACAGACAGACATTTTCAGATCTCGTTGAGCTGAGTCGATTGGTGTATAACTTTTGACCCTCAGGCCTTACAGCGAAAATTTGTACACCTAGGTGTACGAGAAAGGCAATAATAGTAAATTGATAAAACACCTTCCATTAAACACCACTAAATCACTGATGCATGTATGTTTGTATGATTCATAAAAATCGAGTTTCGCAAACAAAATGATAACAATCAAACTGGCATTTTGTCAAACTGTGACTAAGTGACCCGCTAGTAATTTATTTAGTTATTTCTAGATAAACATTTCAAAAGGTCCTATTTGACCTTCTCTTTCGTTAATATCCATCTGGAGCGCCTGTCGGTCCGAAGAGATACAGCAAGGGCATTGCTAATTGCGGATATTTTGCAAGGACGCAACCGATTGCCCTGTCCTCCTTGAGCAAATTGACATCAATGTTCAACCCCGAGCCCTACGGAATAATTCAATGCTGCGCCTGCCCATACAGCGAACTAATTATAGCATGTTCGGTGTAATCGGTGGTTTACAGAGACTCTTCAATAGGGTTTCCGCACTGTTTGATTTTGACCTGACTCGCCAGCTGCTTCGCCGGAGGTTTAGTTCGTTTTTTTCTAGATCAGTTTAGTTTGTTTAGTAATGTTCCTTTTTTTTACGAGATGACTATCTATGTACTTATTGATGTTTTGTTTTAATACTTTTCATGTTTAGTTTAAGTTACATCATTCGGGCAAATAAAGCCTGTTTATGATCAGTCATATAAATAAATAACTCAGCTGCAAAACCTTTCTCTGTTGTATTTGACGTTTTGGACGCTAGATGAAAACCTCCTTTATCAAACTATGTGGTAAATTAGCACGAAATCTGTTTGCATATTAGTGGTTATAAAAAGAGAAAGTCGATGAAGAGAATCGACCAAAGCAGATAGGACCATTTGAAATGTTCATCGAGATTTGTCGTCAATAAAAAGTAGACCATTTTGTAAACAATGATAATTGCAACAATAAAAATAGCTTTTATACTGATTATATTCGTTCTTCGTGCGTGACTGAAAAAGGTATATGGACTGCAAAGAATCTTTAGCCTTGCCACTGTACTGTTGGATTAGTGTTCAATAGTACCAACTCATGAAGCTTATAATCGTTTGAGAAATGCTTGTTATCATAAATTCTCAAGCTGATTTGAAAAACTTCAACCAGCTGTGAATTTTTTTAACAGGTATGTGTTTCAGTGTTCCCTGAAAGTTCTAGTTGAAGTTTTTCGGTTTTACCGGACAATACGTATTTTGAAAATTCATAGAAAAAACGTTGTGTAGTGAGATGATAGGGAAATTATCCCAGAAATCCATAAAAAATATAATCTGAAAAATGTTTTCCATGAATATTTTAACGGTGGACAATCGTAAGCTTTCTTAGTTTATCGGTCATATCGCAAAAAAGGTAAGTGCGACCACTCTGAAATGTTAACCAGTGAAAGATAAGAAACTTTCAAAAATGAAAAAAATTATTAAATAAATTTTAAATACCCTTGATTTTCCTGATTTACCTTGTGGATTTCCACCACCGTGAAAAATTTCGTGCAAAACATTTTTCAGACAATATTGTTTATGGATTGCTGAGATAATTTCCCTTATCGTTTCATTACACAATGTTTGATCCACGATACTTGGTTCATAATTTCAATTT